TATCATATAGCTCCTTTGATCTTCATCTTCGGGGCTCCATGATCATCTTGTCACCGGCATGACACCATGATCTCCATCATCATGATCTCCATCATCGTGTCTTCATGAAGTTGTCACGCCAACGACTACTTCTACTTCTATGAATAACGCGTTTAGTAATAAAGTAAAGTAGTTTACATGGCGTTCTTCAATGACACGCAGGTCATACAAAAAAATAAAGACAACTCCTATGGCTCCTGCCGGTTGTCATACTCATCGACATGCAAGTCGTGATTCCTATTACAATAGCATGAACATCTCATACATGACATATAGATCATTCATCATTCATCACAACTTTGGCCATATCATATCACAAAGCACTTGCTGCAAAAACAAGTTAGACGTCCTCTAATTGTTGTTTGCAAGTTTTACGTGGCTGAAGTAGGGTTCTAGCAAGAACGTTTTCTTACCTACGTGAAAGCCACAACGTGATTTGTCAACTTCTATTTACCCTTCATAAGGACCCTTTTCATCGAATCCGCTCCAACTAAAGTGGGAGAGACAGACACCCGCCAGCCACCTTATGCAACTAGTGCATGTTAGTCGGTGGAACCGGTCTCACGTAAGCGTACGTGTAAGGTTGGTCCGGGCCGCTTCATCCCACAATACCGCTGAAGCAAGATAAGACTAGTAGCGGCAAGAAAGTTGATAAATCTACGCCCACAACAAATTGTGTTCTACTCGTGCAAGAAGAACTACGCATAGACCTAGCTCATGATGCCACTGTTGGGGAACGTTGCAGAAAACAAAAAAATTTCCTACGGTTTCACCAAGATCCATCTATGAGTTCATCTAGCAACGAGTGATTAGATGCATCTACGTACCTTGTAGATCGCGAGCGGAAGCGTTCAAAGAACGGGGATGATGTAGTCGAACATGACGTGATCCAAATCACCGGAGATCCTAGCACCGAACGGACGGCACCTCCGCGTTCAACACACGTACGGAACAGCCACGTCTCCTCCTTCTTGATCCAGCAAGGGGAGAGGAGAGGTTGAGGGAGATGGCACCAGCAGCAGCACGATGGCGTGGTGTTGATGGAGCTGCAGTACTCCGGCAGAGCTTCGCTAAGCGCTATGGAGGAGGAGGAGGTGTTGGAGAGGGAGAAGGAGGCAACCAAAGGCGTGGGATGAAAGCCCTCCTTCCCCCACTATATATAGGAGGGCCAAGGGGGGGGGTGGCCGGCCCTAGGAGATCCAATCTCCTAGGGGGGGCGGCGGCCAAGGGGGGTTTCCCTCCCCCCCAAGGCACCTAGGAGGTGCCTTCCCCTCCTAGGACTCTTCCTTCTTTAAACCCTAGGCGCATGGGCCTAGTGGGGCTGGTGCCCTTGGCCCATGTAGGCCAAGGCGCACCCCCTACAGCCCATGTGGCCCCCGGGGATGGGTGGCCCCACCCGGTGGACCCCCGGAACCCTTCCGGTGGTCCCGGTACAATACCGATAACCCCGAAACTTGTCCCGATGCCCGAAACAGGACTTCCCATGTATAAATCTTTACCTCCGGACCATTCCGGAACTCCTCGTGACGTCCGGGATCTCATCCGGGACTCCGAACAACATTCGGGTTACTGCATATACATATCCCTACAACCCTAGCGTTACCGAACCTTAAGTGTGTAGACCCTACGGGTTCGGGAGACATGTAGACATGACCGAGATCGCTCCCCGGTCAATAACCAACAGCGGGATCTGGATACCCATGTTGGCTCCCACATGCTCCACGATGATCTCATCGGATGAACCACGATGTCGAGGATTTAATCAACCCCGTATGCAATTCCCTTTGTCAATCGATATGTTACTTGCCCGAGATTCGATCGTCGGTATCCCAATACCTCGTTCAATCTCGTTACCGGCAAGTCACTTTACTCGTACCGCAATGCATGATCCCGTGACCAGACACTTGGTCACTTTGAGCTCATTATGATGATGCATTACCGAGTGGGCCCAGTGATACCTCTCCGTCATACGGAGTGACAAATCCCAGTCTCGATCCGTGTCAACCCAACAGACACTTTCGGAGATACCTGTAGTGCACCTTTATAGTCACCCAGTTACATTGTGACGTTTGATACACCCAAAGCACTCCTACAGTATCCGGGAGTTACATGATCTCATGGTTAAAGGAAAAGATACTTGACATTAGAAAAGCTCTAGCAAACGAACTACACGATCTCACGCTATGCTTAGGATTGGGTCTTGTCCATCACATCATTATCCTAATGATGCGATCCCGTTATCAATGACATCCAATGTCCATAGCCAGGAAACCATGACTATCTATTGATCAACGAGCTAGTCAACTAGAGGCTTACTAGGGACATGTTGGTGTCTGTTATTCACACATGTATTACGATTTCCGGATAATACAATTATAGCATGAATAAAGACAATTATCATGAACAAAGAAATATAATAATACTGCTTTTATTATTTCCTCTAGGGCATATTTCCAACATTCACAACCTTATAGAAATCTTCATCTTCTCTCAACGAAGGACCGACCTTTTCTGGAAGCTTTTTCATTATGTGCCACATGCATAACCTATGGATGGTTGTCGGCATAACCTCTTCGATGGCGGCCTTCATGCTAGCATCTTCATCAGTTACTATAAGTCTAGGTGCTACTCCATCCATTGCTTTCAAGAACGTTTGGAACACCCACTTGTATGACGGTATCTTCTCATTGACGATCAAGGCAGCGCCATAGAACACAAACCCCCTATGGTGGTTTATCCCTGTGAAAGGGCAAAATATCATATTATACTGGTTGGTGCTATATGTAGAGTCAAAAGACACCATGTCTCCTGCTATAGCATAGTTCTTTCTACAAGTAGCATCTGCCCAGAACACATGAGTTAGACGATTTTTGTCATCAAGAATGTAATCAGAATAAAACGCTGGGTTGATTTGCTTCCTTTTCTTGAGGTTATCAATGAACATCTGAGCATCTGAATCCTTGATAGAACTTCTCAAATTACGATGATAATTCTGCAAGTCTCTTTTTGTGCAACCCACAAACTCAAATCCGCCCTCGCCAATACGGAGCAATCGGAAGGCACCTGATGTGCCAATGCTAGTTGCATGGCATGTGAAAAGAGTGGTCTTGGCCCTTTGACTAACTTGTCTATTTGACTTGATTAAATGCTGTTTGCTAGGTGTGACAAATTCATGTGTGTGTTCTTCATGAAAAAATATTATTGAGTATATGCCACCCTGCATAAGCTTGACAGTTATCATGGCTTCGCAACCACATCTAGTAATCTTTGTCTTCTTCTGCTTACTTGGCTTATTTTCGTTCACAACCTTCTTGTCTTCCTCTGCCTTGGATCTGAAACCTGCTTTGGCACACAAAAATCGTCTCCAGACCACCAAATTATCCACAATCCTCTTCTGACCGATTCGAACTGAAAAGCCAACGTTGTGTGCATAAGCCTTGTAGAACTCCTCGACGGCTTCCATGTTCTCGAATGTCATACCTACAGCCGGCTTTAGATTTTCATCACATTCCGGTGTACACGATAAACCCTAAGATTACAGGACAGAGTGCATCAGAAATTAGTATTGGTTAGAGGAATATTACAAAAACTGAGGATAAATAGATGCTCACACAAAAAGGCCCGCTGCTAGCTCTTTTATTGGGTGTACTGTAGCTATCCTGGACGACTGGAGGGAGATTGATTTCTGGTTGTCTATTATTGGCATCTTTGGTTTGCAATGAAAATTCACAACCGAGCCTAGGCTCCATTCTTAGTTCAACAACAGCGGGTACGGATACCTATCAAAACATCATCTTGATCACGTTTGCTCCAAGAACTAACAGAATTCATCAGAGACATGTACCACATACCTCTGCAAGGGTATCGGGAGATTGATTTGGTGCTTTGTCGGAAGTTGCCGGATCCATACTCATAGAAGGGATGTCGCTGCCGCTAGGTGCTGGCGGTGATAAGGAGCACCGCGCCGTCACACATACATGGGAGTCTAGGGTCGATGGCGGCGCTTTGCAGGGATGGATCTCCGTTATGACGACCAGAAGTCTAGGGATGGAGGACTTGAGTCTTGGTTCGTACGTGTAGGGGGTTATGTGTGAAAGTGTTATTAGTTATCTTGTGAGCCCTCCCACCTCTCACTAGATGCGTTGATTTTGGATCCAACACCCCACGAGCAAACTTTTCAGATTTTCACCACTAGTTCATTTTCACAGGATACGTTCCCAATATCTATATCTATGATGTTAAGTAAATATCATTAGATGCCTCACTAAACATATATTTATTTGTACTATTTTTGTTGATACTTTTCTCACTGAACTTGGTTAAACTAAACAATGTTTGACTCCTAAGAAATTTTATGCGCACTACATCTAGGAATAGAGGGAGTATATGTGAATAAACACACTAAAACACGTTTATGTGCATTGATTCTAAAAAAGCTAGAACATCTAATATTTGTAAACGGAGAGAGTAGGACATTTTAGTATAAGCCACGTAAAGACTGAAATAATAAATGAACAAACACACTATTGGGACGGAGGTAATATTTGTGAACAGACAGAAGATTGCAATCCCTCGTTAAGAAAAAATAAAATTGCAAGCTCTTGATCCTCACAAGGCCGGACACGTGCGAGACACTGCCTCTAATGCTCGGGCCCACTCGTCAGCCTCTAAAACAAGCGTGGTAGCAACTCACGCCACGACCTGCCCCCCCGTTCTCTGCCTCTGCCACGATTCGCAATTCAGATCACGGCCGCGGTGACCAGCAGAAATCGGTATCCGAAGCGGGGGAACCAAACCAACGCAAACCCCAAATCCCCAATCCGAGCTGCCCTCTTCCCCTGAGGTAAGATCCGTTCACGATCTCAGCGCCTCATAGTCCAGATCGATTTCTGCAGCAATTTCCCGCAATTTTGTCTGACTTTTTCTCGGGAGGTCGATCGGGTACGATTCGATTCGATCAGATGGCGGCGGTCTGGATGGCGTTGGCGGTGATGCTGGTCGCTGCTGCTCAGGTGGCGGTGGCTGCCCCGGTGACGGCGCCGGCCTTCCTCTGGGCTCCCAAGAACTACGGGTAAGTAGCTGAAGCGCACTATGATGCACATCTCTGCTGTGTTAGATGTGATACGTTCTTGTAAAGCTGGAGGAATCTTAGCCTGGAATTCTGCTTTGCTCTGAAACTATTGCAAGTTGGTGGATTAACAACTGTTGGGGGGCGTAATGACATGAATTTTTTCATGGAAGGGGTACCATGTTGCTTCATCCAACTATTCTTACATGAAATCAGCATAAGCCTACAAGTTGATTGAGTGCATGGGATAGTCACCTCAAGTATGTTACTACAAGGCTCTACGGTGTGTCTGTATGTTGTGGAATAGCACGTTTCATTGGGAGGCAATCATAATGTTACCTCAAGACTGATATCTCCATTCTCTAAAAAAGATTGGTATCTACATTCACACAGTAGATTTATGTCAGCTGCTTTTCTCTTCAATCGTAATTGTGCATGTTTATACAGCTACCCGTGGAAAAACTAATCTCTAGATCCTGACTCAGCGCAAACATTAATTAACTCATCCTTGTGATAATGGTCAGATTGCGGAGTGTAGAGTAGGGTGGTTGGAAGAAAAAGTTCCCAACTTCAGTAATGGAAGGCTGGAGGATTGATGATATCTGGTGATGAAACCCACTCTACATAGAAAGCCACACATTTTGTTCATGTAGATTACTAAGAATAGTGATCTATGGGTATAAACCCCGGATGAAGGAGAGACAAAACAGAGTTTATTGTTGGCATCAGGACCCTTGTTCAACTTGTATGCAGGCCACTCCATAGTCCCGTTGACATTAGGAGAGCAGATGCTGAGCATCAGTTCTCCGGGGAAGTTGCATTTTTTTGTTGCATAGTGAACATTGACTTCTGTCCAATCACGCTGTCTGCCCATATTTGTATACCTCAAGTAGAAACATGTAGTTCCTTTTTTCTCCATTTCTTGTGGAATGTCTCTGGCCTTGAAGCTGAAGGAAACTTGAAACCCTGATTTCCATTAGATATGACAATCGCCTTCTACTGAGATGCATCCTTACCTGTGAATATTACAGCAACTGTGTAATGCATCCAGGCTCTACCTGCTACCTAGGTCACATGTTGCTCCTCCGTCTTCTTAGTGTAGACGATGTATCTCATACATCTCCAGTGTTACTCCTTGTTGTTCTTAGTGCAGGTGATTCATATTTTACATCTGGTGTTCCTGATCAGTCTTACTCCTGGATTTTTGGTTACTTGTTGACTAGTTCCAAGTTTTCATTTTGTGAAATTTATGCATTCGGTTACTTACCAACGAAGTACAATTATACGAGTTCATTTTTGATATATTTGCCGTCCTTCAAGTAATAGTAATTTACATAACATTACCTTTATCTCCAGACTTAGTCCCAATGAGGCTAAAGAAGTAGTCCACTATCAGACAATCTCCCCAAAGAGTTTAGCTGATTCTGTTCTCGAGGAAGGTGGCTGGTCGAACTTGGTGGTGAGTTCTCCTCCAGTGTCCCAATTGGAACTTAAAGTTGACATCCAGCTTTCTTGAAATGTGAGTTCTTCGTATGCACAAATTTAAGCAACACAATGTTTTGGTTTTGTTTTCAGTGTTCAAAGGATGGTCCTCAAAAGAATGTTGATGTTGCAGTTCTTTTTCTTGGATCAAAGGTATTTCTTGGACTACCATCCATTTGTTACTGTTATAAATTAGTTTTTTCATCTTTTGGGCATTAACTGGTTACACTAAATCCACACTTGATGGAAGCAGCCTCGTAATCATCGATAATTGTTTATTCAAATACCTTCTCGTCGTGATATCTCAGCTAGCTGTTATTGGTCAAGTCCAAGAGGCCATTATTTTTTCTAAAATTCTCCATGCTTTAGTCTGTGTGGGAAAAATAAACTCCATCCTAGAATTTTTTATGTTGAAGATGCTATCTCTGTTTTGTTGCTTCAGTTACACTAACCAGTAACTAATATTGTTCCTCAGCTACAATCATCAGACATCTCTAAAGATAAACAAGTCGATCCTGCTTTAGCGGACATACTAAAGGTAGTCACAGTCATCATATATGGTTTTCCATGTTTTTTCTCTGCTATCATACATAATTGTAAGCATAGAATGCTTTCAAATCCATTAATATACATACCTTTTACCAGCTGTCCTTCTCAAGCTCTGAGTTTTCCATGGCATTCCCTTATGTTGCCATGTCAGACGACGAAGCACTAGAGAACTCATTGCTATCTGGATTTACTGAGAATTGTGAGGATGGTTCTGGAGGAAATCATATCACTTACACAGACACGTGTACTGCAAGCAGTGAAAGTGTGAAGAAACATCTGAACATGGATTCTGTTCAAGCAAGTTATCTTTTACATATAAAATACTTATTTCGATATTTTCTGTATATTCATTATTTATTGACAGCATATACATTCCAGGACTTGGTGAAGTCACGGATGGGAAACAACCAACCAACTGAGCTAATCGTCTTCTGTAGCGGTGGTTTCAAGGACAGTACAAAATCAGAAGGTTGGGTAAAGTAACTAGGTTTAGTTCCATCACCTTCAACTGTACAACTTTAACCTGTGTTCCACTTCCTTACTTCAGGGCAGTTGCTTTTGGATCTGGTTTCTGTTCTTGACAAGTCTGGGGCTAAATACACAGTTCTTTACGCTTCTCAACCCTATGGTTTGCTGGAGAATCCTTCGGACCTGCCATTAGCCAGGTATCTTGCAGAGAAGACCAACACAACTAAACCTGTCCTAGAGAAATGTGATGGAGAGTGCCAATTAAAATCAACTCTCCTGGAAGGAGTTTTTGTGGTAAGTTGGTACTCGCACTCTGTTTTGTGTATTCCAAACTATGCCGTGGAGTTTGTCCTCTTCATCTGTATAAACTGCAGTATGTAGATCACAGTTGTTTGTATCCTTGCATAATTCATTCACATTTTTGCACAATCTGCAGGGTGTAGTGCTGCTTATCATCTTGATATCAGGACTTTGCTGCATGATGGGGATCGATACTCCATCAAGATTTGAGGCTCCCCAGGATTAATCTTGGTCTGATTTTGAAGCAAACCCGATGTGGATGGCCAGTGTTTGTTACCCTGCGCAGTGGATATAGTTAGCTTCCTCTTCAAAGGTGCCTTGCTTGTGTATTTTTCTAAGCCAAACTTCTGTTTAGTGACCAAACTTTTGGTGTATAATTGCATTCCAAACCCACGGAGATCTGAGCTTTTGCAAACTACACTACATGCGCAAGGCTTATGTTGTACTATCAAACCAGAATTGTTTCCAGTTTTCTCTGTGAATAGCCTGGGATTCAGGAAGCCAATAAGATGATGGCACTACTGTCCATCTAATAAAATCTTGTTATTTTTTTAGTAGTCATAACTTGAAGCACATCAATTTCTTGGGTGATTTGGACACAAGGCTACTTTTGGAGCATTGCTCCTTTCTAGGTTGCACCGCTGAGGATGTGTAATTGTCAGCTAGACTTACGGCGCAAGTGATTGCATGATTGAGATTGGAGTAGTGATCGCTCTGCTTTGCTTCATTTAAAACGATGGATAGTCGGATGACGCTCCAGTATCTTTTCCTCCTCTTGTGTCAATTTGTCCTTTATGCTTGCTATAGGTCTTGTCTTGGCTTAGCACTCAAGTGAGTAAAAAATTGTGGCATCCCTTTATATATGGTTTAATGCGTGCTCCATTTTGTCCTTTATAATGTGAAGGAAATGCAACAGAAATTTCGCAAGCATATAGATTGTGTTGCGTTCTACTCTCTCCGCTTTTAAATATAAATCTTTCTAGGATTTCAATACAAATTACATATGGATGTATATGTACATACTCCCTCCGTTTGGAAATTTTTGTCGGAGAAATTTTTTGTCAGAGAAATGCATAAAAATGAATGTATCTAAAACCAAAATCCGTCTAGATACATCCAATCCTTCGACAAGTATTTCTGGACGGAGGGAGTAGTATTTTATAGTGTAGATTCACCCATTTGCTCTGTATGTAGTCTGTAGTGAAATCTCTAAAAAAAAAATTACATTTAAGAACAGAGGGAGTATTGGGGTTTTCATGTCCCAACTTGCTTGGGACAAAAGGCTTTGTTGTTGTTGTATATTGCTTGTGCGATTCCTCGCTGATGCGACATTTTTGTTCTTGACCTCATAGTCAGGCCGAGGCACGCGTCGTTGTATATCCTCGATCCCCATGATGACAGTAGTACAATGTCTATCCGCTGAGCCTGACGTTGGCGAATGAGATGTGTTTTCAGTATAGTCGGTACCGGCGACGTACTGGCCCATACATTGGCTGCCAAGTCAGTGCGTGTTGGTCTCTTGGGAGCCATGCCACTGCCAGTGTATAGCTGCAAAACATAACTTGGAAGAAAGGTCTTTGACGTTTGCGGATTGTCGTGAGCAGTTTTTCCTTTCCGAAAAAAATAAAGCTGCTTACGTAGCAAGACCCTGGGGGGAGGGGATGCGTATGATTAGTTATGTACCTACCTTGGGTATCTACAGAAGCATGATATTATTGCTGATCTAGTATCGCTACCGAGTGGAGTAATTGGAAGTGATAGATCTTCCAACGAAATTTTAGCCGCTCTCCTGCAATTTTTTTTTTTAAGAAAGTGCAACAGATCTCAGCAGGCATTGCTCGATCCTAACACAAACTTACCTCGTGATACATGCGGTGGGGTGGGGCAAACTTCATTTGGTGGAACTGACGAAATTTATTTCATACTTTTCAGCAATAGTTTGTTCAGTGATTTCCGTCGATTACGAAAGCATCCATGGTAACTTAGTTAATCTCAAGAGATCGTGCTGGCTCAGTTTCTATAGGTGCTCATAGGGACGCGTTAAATCCCACTAGAACAATTCACATAGCATGTGAAAAAAGGATGGAAAATGCATATAGCTTCTAAAATATTCGAAACAGAAAAAGTACGTAACTTGCACCGGCTTATGATGCAGGAAACATGCCGAAAATGCAGGTAAAAAAGGGGGATTCCTTTCTATTTCTTTCTTCTTAGATCACGTTGCACTGTCGTTGGATCATGCATGCAAGCTGGATGCCATGGGTTACGTCTACATCTTTCAGTTACTATCTTGCTGGTTATACAGTTTCTTTTCGAGGAATCTTCGCTGGCCACCATTGGTAACTGATCATTTTACTTTCAGAGTTTCAGTTAAAAGCTCTCCATTTTCTAACGATCGATCATCATGTGTACTACGCTTGTGTTAAAATATTGGAAGTTCTAGATTTGCCCTAAGTCATTTTTTTAGTTTGATCAATTTCGTTTGAAGGGGAGCCTTGGCGCAGTGGTAAAGCTGCTGCCTTGTGACCATGAGGTCATGGGTTCAAATCCTGGAAACAGCCTCTTACAGAAATGTAGGGAAAGGCTGCGTACTATAGACCCAAAGTGGTCGGACCCTTCCCTGGACCCTGCGCAAGCGGGAGCTACATGCACCAGGTTGCCCTTTTTTTTTTAACTTTATAGGAAAAGAATGCTAATATCTACATCGTCAGATATATAAAATATAAACATATATTACGATGAATCTAATTTGATGTTATAGATGTTGTTATTTCTACAAACTTGATCAGACTTAAAAGAAATTTGACTGAGGACAAAACTAAAACTTCAAATATTTTAAAATAGGAAGTACTTAATTAGTAATTAAACTGGTCTATCGGTAGATCAAGTGAATGACCTCCTCCCATAACTGAGCTGGCATACAGGTGGCCTGCGTGCATGCACGCGCCGTCCAACATGTATGCATGCGTGGCTGCACGTGCTTTCCCGCTGACGAACGCTCCAGCTTGCACCAACCTGTATACAATGCTAATTAACGTGGAGGCCACTTGACTAAGTCCTAACTTGCGCGCCAAGAATGCAAACTAGCTTGGTTACATTAGGTCTCGACAAACCAAAAGTCACCGTACTTGAAAAGTACTGTCATACGTATGAGCGCTACTGTATAAGTATGACCCAGTTGTGTCTTTCTATACATACATGGAAGAATATATATATACACCATGTCTCATTCTCTTGGTTTAGATATCTCTCTAGCTCTCTCTGTCTCCACAGCCTATTTAGAGTACACATGCATAGTAGCTAGCTAGCTGCTTTAATTTGGTTACCGATTTGTAGCTAGTAGCTAGCTACTTTGGTTACCCATCTGTAGCTAGTACTCCAGCTATCTAGAGAACAGAATAAGCTACCACGACCTAATCCATAGCATCATCTCTTAATTATTTTGGATGAGAAGGCAAAACAAGGACACGACTAGGACAATAAGATTCAACAAAAACAGCCTGTATAGAAACGACCGAGGTCCTTATTGTATCATTAACAATGAAGAAGAGCCACATACAAACGCCACATTTATATACAAAGCCTAAAGAAAGAGTTTGCAAAACCATAAGTTGTCTGAAATTTTGTTGTCTATTTCTCGAAGTCGTAATTTGGACCAACATCCAACCATCCTCATTTCCGGACCACTTCAGTCCTCATATATAACTTACCAAGAATTGTTAGCAGACTTCTTCTGTTCTTCAGATACTACTATATTCATATGGTTAACTACTCCTATATTTTAGGCAAAGGATCTCCACCTGAGTTATGCTTATATTACCCGTTACTCAAAGATCCCCACAAAAAATTAGGCGACCGAGAATTAGCGAAACTGAAATTATGTGCCATGCGACAACATCAGCTCAATGAAGAAGCAACATATTTAACTCACAACAAACAATATAATGTCCTTTTTACAAAATCCTAAAACAAACTAATGCAACTGTAATCTCTCTCCATGGTCCATATATAATCAACATCGATCTAATCAATGAAGCAACCAACAAAATTACTACAATCAACGAACATTCGATCAGTAGAACCTAGCACCAAGATTATTAGCAGCAGCTGGGCGTCCAGTCATAGCGGCAGAAGCAAGATCATAATTCCCATAGGGAAGTTCACCGTCGTCGTAGCTCCCAAGCTTGCCCTGCTGAGGCAGAACACTGCCGGCGGTCACCCTGGAGCTCGGCGTCTGCAGACCCTTTGCCGGCTCACCGAAGTTTTGGGCGCCAACGACCCCTTCTAGGGCTCTCATCATGATCGCCTGCTGCTCATGGAGGTTAACGTCGTAGCTTCTTCTTGACATCATCCCATGCGGCGCCGTATTCATAAGCATGTGCTGCCAGGAGGAGCCGCTTATTGCCGGGACTGAGCTGGCCATGGCGGTGGACGTTTGCGCGTTGCTTGGGACGTTGGTCAAGCTGTAGTTGGACATGAGATTGAAGCTTCCAGCTGTAGTAGGAACGGAGGGGTAGTAGTAGTCCGCGTTGTACGGCGGCGGGGCACTGTTGGTGGTGGTGGCGGTGGTCTTGGTCGGCAGCTGGTTGCTTGTGTACTCGTCGGAGTTGGGGATGTAGCAGAGCGGGTCGATAGTGAACATGGAGTCGGTGAAGTCTCCGGCGCCCTCGCCGGCGTCGACGACCGAGCTGGCGTTCGGCGTCGTCACGGCAGAGTACTCGGCGTCCACGTCGGCAGCCCTCGTCGCCTTGACCTCCCCCTTCTTGTTGAACACCTTGCACACCACCCATTCGTCCTGACCGTTCAAAAGCACAGACGAAAAAATTCCCAATCAATTCACGCTCCGATCGAGTAGAGTCTAGAGAGAGGCATAATTAGAATGGAATGTTGGAGAGGCTCACCTTGGGATTGTTCATGGTTTGGCCTCTGGACTTGCCTTCGAGGCGGAACTCGTGCATGACCCATTCAGACTTGGCGCCCCGGGGCGCTCGGCCCGTGTAGAACACCAACGTCTTCTTCATCCCAACCAGCTCGCGGGCGCGGGGCTTGAAGATCTCCCTGTCCTTGCCGGTGGCCTTCCAGTAGCCCTCCTTGGTGGCGCGGTTGGCTCGGCTCCCGGTGGGGTACTTGAGGTCCTTGTGCACAAAGAAGTACCACTCCTTCTCCCCCATGTTGGCCTTGCCTTCAATTCCATATCAAACAACATCAGCAGCTAGCCTGCTGTAA